CTCCTTATCTTTTTCTCTCTTCAATGCCTGATTACGTTTTTCTATGTGCTCCCGGCTTTAGTCCACAACCTTGCTTTAAGAGGTCGTAAGCCATAAGCTATAGATTAATGACGATTTAAGCGGATTTAGGTTTTATATTGATAAGGACCCAAATATAGGGGTCGAAACGTATATTAATTAATTTTTAATATGATTTGTTAAATTAACACGAAAATAAATTGTGCATCCGAACAACTGATGTTGGCTTTGATGGGTTTGCTTATTATTATTATTGATAGATTCTTCCAAGCCTTATTTTAGATATTTGTAATCTCTTCAGTTTTCATCAATTAATCTTCGTCTTTATCCCACTTTTGAAATATTTGTAGTTAAAAAAAAAGAGTATTTCTTAGTTATTTGTTTATTATAAAAACGTATCTCCATAACTCAAATCTTATTAATTAATTCATGATGGAATTAGAAAATTCTAATTCCACCATGGATTAATTATCGTTTAACTGTTCTTTTTTTTCTTATAAATTACACACACATCACTCACATCACTTATCACGCTGACAATATACTTACAATTTCTACAATATTGATATTAATAAGCTTAATTTTCTTATAAGATACTTAATAGCCTAAATAGCAGTCAAGTGTAATTCTTACTTTTCCAACCAATCACATAGGTAGGCAATCAGTACAGTATGGATAAAGTTACATATAAAAAAATTAATTTCCTCTCTTCTGTTGTTTCAGAGTGTTAATATTTATTTTTGCGGAAAAAAGTAAGAAAAATGAGTTCTTTATAGAAAAATGAAAGTGAGAGATATTTCTAAATAAGTGAAAAGAAGTCGCTCCCACGTCCATAATTACAAATTGATGTACGAGTTTCATAAGCAATAGTACAGTTGTATTGACGAGCCAAATTATAAAGTACAAATAATTATATTTATAATTAGTGTCTCATACACACAACTAGATACTCGTACTAGTTATCAATTTATAATTACAGTTTTATGTTAATAAGTTGAACAAATAAATATGTTTAAGTTGTATCACTATTAACACCATTTACAATAAATAGCAATACAAGTAATTAGTATCCGAGTATCGATCATGTAACTTTTTCTCTAGAGCAGCAGAAAAGTGACCATTTATATATATATATATATATATATATATAT